GATTAAAAGATACCTGGAAACAAATGAAAATGAAGAAACATCTTACCAAAACTTCTGGGATACCATGAAACAGTATTAAGAGAATAATTCCTATCTCTATGAACACACATGAAGAAAATGGAAAGATCACAAGTTAACAGCCTAAGGAAGTTAACATAACACAAGTTAACACATGTTAACACCTAAGGAAGCTGAAAAAGTAAGACCACCAAAACTCCAACTTCTGCAGAAGAATCCAGATCATCAAAATGAAAGACCAAATTCGGGACATAGAAGACAAAAAGATAATACAAAAAAATCAATGAAACCAAAAGTTGGTTCTTTGAAAGGATAAACAAGATTGATGGACTCCTAGCTAGACTGACCAAGAAAAAGAGAGAAAATCCCAAATAAATACAATCAGAAATGCAAAAGATCAAGTCACAACTGACCCTGAAGAAATTCAAAAGGTTATCAGAGACTACTATGTACAGTTGTATGGAAACAAACTTGAAAAGGAAATGGAGGACTTCCTGACATCACACAACCTACCCAAGTTGAAACAAGAAGAAATCGAGACCCTAAATAGACCAATAACAATCCCGGAAATTGACTATGTCATAAGAAAACCACCTACAAAAAAAAAAACCCACGACCAGATGACTTTTCAGCAGAATTCTACAAAACATACTGTAAGAGGTGATGAATTGTGTGAAAACTGTGTGAAGCTTTATATATTGTGTGATGAATTATGTGAAATGTAATGAAACTATAACCTCATATATTAAGTATGCTGAAACTGTGTGCTGTGACCTCTCCCCTAAAACTTAGTAATTCTTGGAAACCCTGGAAGAAACACCCTACTTGGGAGCACCAAGTGACTATGTTAGATAAGTTAACCAGCTTTCTCTGCTTCTGTAACCCCCGCTGGCAGTGTGTGAGTGTTGTGCGATAAGCCCCTTTCAAATTCTAGCGGGCTTTTCTCTGTTTGAATTGTGGCAGGCAAGACCCTTCTGGTGGGCTTTGTGTTGTTCGAATTTAAATTATAATGGCCTTGTGGATTAGGTGGGCTTTTGCATATTTAAGAAAGGCCCCTCTCGCAGTGTGGGGCCCTCGCCTAAAGACTTGTGAGTCTGGTGGGTGGCCCTGGCCAGTCGAACCTGGCTAATAAACCTCTCTCTTGGTAAATTGTGTGTCAATGCCGTGAATCAAACGCTTGGACTCCACATCAATACAAGGAGGAACTGATACCAATCCTACTGAAAGTATTCCAGGCAATTAAGAAAGATGGAACATACCTAAAAATAGTAAGAGCCATCTACGAGAAACTCACAGCCACATACTGCTAAACAGACAGCAAATAGAACCATTTCCCCTGAAACTGGAATAAGACAAGGATGCCCATTCTCAACTCTCCTTTCAACATAGTTTTGGAAGTCCTAGCTAGAGCAATCAGACAAGAGAAGGAGATCAGGGGTATCCAAATAGGAAAAGAGGAAGTCATGTTATCCCTTTTTTCAAACGACTTGATTCTATACCTTGAAAACCTTCTTGCACTGATAAAGGATTTTTGCCAAAGTCTCAGGATATAAAATCAACGTGCAAAAGACAGTTGCATTTCTATAAACCAACAATAAACAAACAGAAACCGAAATAAAAAGCACAATTCCATTCACAATAGCTGCAAAAAAAAAAAAAAAAGGAAATCCCTTGGCATCTTCTTAACCAGAGACATGAAAGATCTTTACACTGAAGCTACAAAACACTGCTCAAAGAAATCAAAGATAACACAAACAAATGGAAAAATATTCCATGCTCCTGGATTGGAAGAATCAACATTGTTAAGATATCCATCATACCCAAGGCAATCTATAGGTTTAACGCAATACCCATTAAATTACCAGCAGCATTCTTCTCAGACCTGGTAATGACAATACAAGAATTCATATGGAAACATAAATGACCACGAATAACCAAAACGATCCTCAGAAAAAAAAAAGTATCACACTCCCAGACTTTAAGCTTTATTATAAAGCTACAATAATCAAAACAGCCTGGTACTGGTACAAGATCAGGCATATAGACCAATAGAGTTTCCAGAAGCAAAACCCCAATTTCTCAACCAACTCATCTTTGACAAAGCCTCCACCACCAACCACTGGGGAAAGGCGATCTTATTCAGTAAATGGTGCTGGGAACTCAAGAACTCAAAAAACAACAGATACTGGACAGGATGTGGCAAAAAGGGAACACCTCTACACTGTTGGAGGGAGGGAGTGTAAACTAATACAACCTCTGTGTAAAACAGTGTGGTGATTCCTAAAAGATCTAAAAATCAATCTTCCATATGACCCTACAATCTCCCTTCTGGGAATATACCTAGAGATACTCAAATCACTCTATTTAAAAGATACCTGCACATATGTTTATTGCAGCACTGTTCACAATAGGAAAAACATGAAACCAACCATGCTGCCCATCAAAAGAGAACTGGATTAGAAAAAAAATGTGGTACATATAAATGATAAGAACCTTAGAAAATGCATGCATCTATACATGATAGATGATAGACAGCCATAAAGAAAGACAAAATTATGAATTTCACAGCAACTTGAATGGTCTTAGAGTTCTTGATGATGGCCATCCTGACTGGAGTTAGGTGGTATCTCAGTGTGACTTTAATTTGCATTTCTTTGATGACTAGTGAAGTTGAGCATTTTTTCATGTATCTGTTGGCTGCTCTTATGTCTTCTTTTGAGAAGTGTCTATACATATCTTTTGCCCACTTTGTTATGGGGCTGTTTGTTTTTTTCTTTTCGGCACATTTGAGTTCCTTATAGATCTTAGATGTTAGACCTATAGAGTCTATAATATTGAGTGATCTATTGCAGAAACAAAGAACTGAGTATCACATGCTCTCACTCATTATCAGACCTTGAACAATTATCATAATACTCTAAGAAAAGAATTGGCAGTAGTGGGAAACTGCCGGGGTTGCGGGGGAGGGAGGTGTGATTGTCAGTAGTGGGAATCTTCTGGGGGGAGGGGATACATAATCAACAAGGGTAAACGCATAATGAGCATTTGTATACCTAACCCTGAATTGCACCCCATGTCTTTAAAATTAAAAATTGAAAAAATACATGGCATATCCCCAAATGGAATATGATTCAACCACAAAAATGAAAGAAGGAATTAAGTACATGCTACAACATGAATGAATGATGAAAATTTGTTATGTGAAAGAAGTCAAACACAAAAGGCTATATAATATCATATGAAATGTCCAGAATAGGCAAATCCAGAGATAGAAAGTAGATTAGTAATTGATGAGGCCTAGGAGGAGGGAAAAGAAGGGAGTGATTGCTAATGGGTATAGAGTTTCTTTTTGGGGTGATGAAAATTTTGTGGATACAGAGGTATGGTTGTACAACATTGTGAACATACTAAAAATCACCAAATTGAATATTTTATTTATTTATTTTTGCTGCAAAAGATTTATTTTGGAAAGACTTTTTTTGGTGAAAAGCTTCAATGTTAGAATTTAGAATTTGTAGCTCATCAATTAATAAAGAAATTTCAGAGCTTTATGATATATAATCCAGAAATTTATTTTAACCTTTTCAGTTAAGTGGAAAGTGGGATGGGCACATTTGTTTCTTGTTTTTGTTGCACCTGCTAAGTCAAATAACAAGGGAAAGTAAACCTAAAGTTAGAAACCAAGTGAAATGAGTGATCCAAGAAAGGATACCATCTGTCAAAGGGAAAAATAAAAATAAAGAGAGGCAAAGATTTGGAAAGAGACTAAGAAAATGTGCAAATATTAGTTTAAAAAATAAGGAATGCTTTTAATTCATTAACGTTTCCTCTATTTATGAATTGCCATGGTTCAGCAAAGGTCAATGGCAAGGGGAGCCCTTGTGTTAAAGAGGGGAGATTCCTCATTCCAGAAGATACTAGGGGGTCATAGGTTTTCCTGTGCTGTTGTTCCAGTGTCAACACCAGACTGCAGAGCCATGATTCCCCCTTGGAATTACACTCCCATGAATAAGGTCTTCATTTCCAGCCTTCCAGCAAGTATGCAGGGTGATGCAGAAGCCTGGAGTTTGGAGCTCCACACCCTGAAGGTCCTTCAGTGGAAGTCTCCTAGCGTGAAGGACAGTTCTTGGGCTGAAACTCACACAAGATGGGAGAGGGACGAGACAGGAAGACCTGGACCTACCCAGACTCCCTCTGGACTGCAGAAAACTGATGACAACATCTTAGGGAGAGTTGCTGCCCACCAAAGAGGACCCTGAGAAAGAAAAATAGCATGAGAACCTGGGAGAGGGGCATACAGAGAAAGGGCAAAGTTGAGATGGTGTTTTCCTTGAGTGAATGTCTTTCAAAGCTAACAACATACTATGTGGGTGTCTAACATGCTGATGTATGAATACTGCCGGGCCCTGAAGTCCTAGCTTTGAATCCATTTTTTTCCCTTTAGTGTTGTGAGTACAGGGAGAAACTGACCCTATGTTTTTCCCCATGACAGAAGTCACTGTCATTATGGCTTTCATATCAAGTTTCCCTTTGCTCCAATTAATTATTTACCAATTTTTACGTTTAGAGGTTAGACTTGCCAACATCAAAGCACCACAAATGTGTGTGACATCTAGTGACACTGGGTTGAGAAATGCCAATATAAATACCATATATCAAATTACCATTGTTTCACACCAGGATAAAAAGGAGGGTGGTGGTAGTGGTGGTGGTGGGTTGAGGAAGAGTTGTTCTGGAAAGAAATGAAGAAGAGAGCAGAACCAATCTCAAGCAGCCAAGTGGTGAGAAGTTGGATGTATAAGACCCTATGATCTTTTGGGTAGGTGGCCAGGCGGCCGTCTGCTAACACATCTTGGCAGAGAAAATGGGAACCAAGTGCAGTGGCTGGCGTGCGCAATAGTGCGTTGATGGTAATGGCAGATTGGGAACAACTGGTTGCTGTTGAGTTTGAGGCCACACATATTCCAATTCTCCAGAAGAAACGTTCCCAGCACAATGGAAGTGTCAAGAGCTGCCAGGCAGGTCAGTACTCTTCCTGCAGTTGGGGCAGCTGTTCATGGGCTTGTTCCTCTGCTTCCGCCTCCTCTGTGTGGCCCTCGTGTTCTCCTGAAGCATAGAGCACTTCCATGAGTCGCTGCAGGAGGTCATCATTTTCCTGCCCATGTTGCTGGCAGAGGAGTTCGATCTCTCTCAGCTTCCCAAAGTAGAAATCCCTTTCCTTTTCCACGCCTTGAAGGGCAAGGCGTTTTAATGAATGTACCTGTTCATTAAGCTGTATGACCTGTGTTTCTAAATCTTTATCAGATTTGGATGCTGAGCTGCTGGAGGAAGCCCTTTTGGCTGATGAGGGAGAAGCTGTGGATCCTGGTTTAGATGCTGGACTTGACTTAGCTGTGCCTGCTGTGGGGGAGTTTGCACGGTGAGACTTTTTTGGCAGGTTGAAGATCTGTTCACCAGGGTCAGGGGGAGGAATTGCATCTTGCCCTTGTCGTGCCTCTACCGGGTCATACTCCTTCCCGTCGTAGTTAACATCATAGAATTTCTTAAACCACTGAATAAAATCCAGGTTGTCCTGGAAACGTTCTTTCACTAGCTTCTCCACCAGAATTACCTTATCAATGTTCATTCGTTTAAATGATGCTTGCAGAAGTTTAAACTTGTGAATATATTCATGTTCCAACTTTGCTTGAAATTTTACTTTCTTCAAACAAACACAGCCTGGAAAGAGCATGTCCACGAACTGGCAATAGGCCGCTCCTGAACAAAGCTGTTGCACTTTTGTGTACTTTAAAGATACTATATCATTAACCCAGGCAATGATGTCATGTCTGCTCATAGTCTCTTGGGTTATGGAGGTAGAATACACATTGACTGCCATTCCCCAACTGTAGGAACGCTCCCCGTGCACTGTGTGCTTCCGGAAAGGAATGATGGTCCCGTTATTATCCTGGATGATGTCGTTGTTGTTCTCACCATTAGGGGACAGGGTTTGGGTCCGCCCAGGCATTGGCGCACTCCCGTGAGAGGGGACAAACCGCTGTGGGCTGGCTGGTGAGGAAAGTGGCTGCGTTGTCTTCCCACTCGCTTGCCTGCTCCGCTCACGGACCGTGCCTGCTGCCCACTCGCCCGCTCTTGAATATTTTAAAAGGTTGATTTTGCCGGGCTTGGTGGCTCAGCCTGTAATCCCGCGCCTTTGGGAGGTTGAGGTGAGTGGATTGCCTGAGCCCGCGGGTTCGAGACCCGCCTGGGCAGCGAGACCTCATCTCTACAATAAATCAAAAAATCAGCCGGGCGTGGTAGCGCACGCCTGTCATTCCGGCTACTCGGAAGGCTGAGGGGGAAGGATCGCCGGAGCCCAGCAGGTCGAGGCTGCGGTGGCCGGGAGTGGCCACAGCACTCCAGTCTGGGCGACAGAGTGAGACTCCAACTCAAAAAAAAAAAAAAAAAAAAAGGTTGATTTTCTGGTATGTGAATTATATCTCAAGAATACAGTTTTAAAGATAAGAACAATTAGTACAAAGATGATAATTAAACTGCCAAGTAAGAATAACAAAAACTGTTTTGGATGGTTAAGTAAATCAAGTGATATTTATTCAGCAGCCCACTAAGTGCTGTGCCACGGATATGTCCCATTCATAGCTCACTCTAGTAGAACCCGTATGAGGAAGCACAGCTGACTGACCACCTCTCTCTCCCAACTGTTGGATCCAACCTTCCCCCAGAATGAGGGTGGTGAGGATAGGGACAGGGCCATTCCTATGCGTGCAAGAGTCCTACAATTGGCAAATTGTGATCAGGGGTTCTCAAGGGCTGAACAGAGATTTTTTTCCGAATCACACTGTAATCTAAGACTCTTCCTACTCACTCCGAACTTTTCTCTCTTCTTCCACAGAGCATTATGGTCAGCCTCTTCCCAACCGCTCTTGCTGCTGTCTTCTTTATCCTTCATTGTCATTTCCCTCTAATAATCTCCTGCTCATCTACTATTGACGTAAGCTCCTTGCAGAACAGGAATCCATTCACTAAGGTATATTTAAGAATGACTACTGTACAAGACTCGAAGAATGCGTCTAAAAGGGCTTTGTGAGACTGAATGTGTCAGCTCTATAGTAAAAAGAGTGTGGGGACACTTTTACTCCACGTGTCCCCAGGATTCCAAAATCAGATTATGTAACATATTGTATTCACTTGTATACAATGTATACAAAACGTACACCAACAAACCACTCTCCAAGGTGCCTAATTTGAAGGACAATACGTTTTCAAGTGAAGTAGTTCCTGAAATGGTTGGGAAGAATCAGTTTCACACAATCACCATATTAAAAAATAACTGACTAAGGCCGCCAACACTGCATGGGTAAGTCAGATGAGGGTGATAAGTCTAAAGCAGTGTTTTTCAAGCTGTGGGTCATGACAAAGTAATGAATCATAAAATCAATTTTGTGGGTCAGGAGAGAAACTTCTTTTGGTTTTGTTTTTAAAAAAATAAGTCAGAATATACATACATAGTAAAGCAAGTATAGTTTCATAAAATTTTTGTCTGAGATACATGTGTGTACATCTGTGTGTACATGTAACACATAAATTGTGTGTTAATTTATATACATTAACTAGGTCTCAATATTTTTGTTGTGGGTTGCATTAAAAAAAGGTTTGGAAGTCCTCATCTAATGGATACACAATGAAGTTGGAATAGTATAATTCACATAAAGACATTTAGCAACATTCTCCAAACTAGGAACAGAATTTTGATTCCCAGAAACCTTGCCAGGGTTGCATGTTTTTGAGTGATAATGTCCAAAAGGGGTGAGTCACATTAGATTTTCTGGAGCGTGACTGCTCCTCCAGCCCAGAATCATATTCATAATCTGGCTAGGTACTAGAGATCACCACATTTGGGCCAGGTACATCTCAAAGTTATACATTATGCAATATGATTGCAGGGTACAGTCACAGAACACTCAGGAATAAATAAAATCCTCACTCATCATCCTTTGTCTCTCCAGGCTAATATAGTCTATTCCAAGTTTATTCCTGCATGCCATTGCTGCTGGCCAGGAACAAAGGATGATTTCTAGACATCTCTGGGAGTCTTACTAACAGACTCTTGGAACAAGTATAGAGCTCATTCTGTAGTCTTATCTCATTAGGACCACATCTCATGGAAGTCAATTCTCCTTAAATGAATGGCAGAATTTGGGCCATGGGGCCTGGAAGCCTAAAAGAAGAGTTATAGAGAAGTCAAAAATAGTTGTAATTTGTTTGCAAAACTAGATTTCACACAGAATTTTAAAGGAAAAAAAAAATAAAGATCAATAGGCATTGAAACGCAAGTTCCACTGCTCTCACCTAAAAATGCAAAGCAGAAAACCAGTGCTGAGAAAAATCACAGGGCTGTCCAATCTTAAAATTGAAAAGCACCCTAAGCTCTCTTAGGTGCTTCTCAAAGTCGAGGCATATGTAGTCTTAGGGGTAGACATATATAAATGAATGGGTAGGCCGGACTCGGTGGATCAGCCTGTAATCCCGCGCTTTGGGAGGCCGAGGTGAGTGGATTGCCTGAGCCCGTGGGTTTGAGACCCACCTGGGCAACTTGGCGAGACCTCATCTCTACAATAAATTAAAAAAATTAGCCGGGCATGGTAGTGCGCACCTGTCGTTTCAGCTACTTGGAAGGCTGAGGCAGAAGGATCGCCGGAGCCCAGCAGGTCGAGGCTGCGGTAGCCGGGAGCGGCCACTGCACTCCAGTCTGGGCGACTGAGTGAGACTCCAACTCAAAAATAAATAAATAAATAAATAAATAGGTAGAAAAGCCACAGGAAAACAAGGTGGTGCTAGGGTCATAGTATTTCACTGAATCTATGATATCATTGATTGTGAGATGTGTTGTTATTTTTAAACCATTAAAAGAAAAAAATGCTGCTATGAGGCAATGTGCTCTTACCAATTTAAATATTTTAATCTTATTTTAAAAGTTTTTAAAAATTAGACATAAATTCTATCATATACCATTCTTGAAGAACATTTAAGACTATACAAGTTGATTATACATAAGGGGAAAATTTTAAGCAAAGTAAATTGGTTAAAACATTTCTAAAATTCTTCAAATTCAGAATATTACTCTTCTGAATAATTTCTCAATTCAGTCATCGATGTTCACAGATATTCTCTTAGTCAAAAGGATATTGAGAATTCAGTATTTCTTAAAAGAGTACTTTGCTATCATTTTCAGAACTTCCTTCCAAGCTGCTGACACTCTCTAGCAAGTTGCAATGCTGGCATTCTATTGAACTTAGTAGGAGATGCTACTGGGATTTTTTTTAGTTAAAATCAAACTCATAGTCCTCTTTCAAGTGGTCTTTTCTTAGTTTGTTGGCAGAAATTTTAAGGGGTTGCTATTATCCATTCATGCCATTAGAAATTCTCGAACTGTGCAGATACATGTCTACACCAACAGCTAACATAATTTGGAAAGTTACATAGGGCCCCTGGTCATCTGTTTCATATGGCTGTACATAATTCATTCTTCAGCTCGGCTGTCATTCATTCCTTCTATGGTGTGTGTATGTGTCTGTGTGTGCAAGTGAATATACACACATAAGATAACATCATTGAGTATAAGCTTATTCTCATATGTGATTGGGTTCAAACTTATACACAATAGTGCACTCATCTTCTGTTTCTGCATAGCAAATTACTACAAATTAGCATCTTAAAACAACACCCATTTACTATCTCAAAGTTCTGGAAGTCAGAAGTTCCTCATGGCATGGTTGGATTTGCTGCTCAGGATCTTACAAGACCAAAGTTAAGGTGTTGATAGGACTGCATTCCTTTCTGGAGGCTCTGGGGAAGAAGCAAGCTCACTCGGATTGTGAGCAGAATTCAATCCTTTGCAGTTATAGGACAGAGGTCCTGGTTTCCTTGATATGTGGCCCTGTCTCTTTAAGCCAGCAACACATGTTGAATTCTGCTCATCCATAAAATCTCTCTGACTTTTCCCTTCTGTTGTCTCTCTCTGACTTTGTTTTCTTTCCTCAGCTGGGAAAAAACTCTGTTTTTAAAGGCTCCTGCAATTACATTGAACCTATCAAGATAATTCACAATAATCTCCCAATTTTAACATCAATTGATGAGTAACCTTAATTACCTCTGCAAAGTCTCTTTGGCCATGTAATTTGACACAAATATATGACAACAAAGGGTGAAGATCTTGGGGGCCAAAATTCTGTCTACCATATTTACTTTGATTTTATTGTTTAAAATTAAATACGGTATCAAGTTTTGACCATTTGACATTATGCATAGCATCATGTTGAAATATTGTACATTGTATATATATATATTCTTAATGTTTAACTATTCTGGTACCCTTGGCATTGACAGACATGTCAATGGATAATTTTCTCAGCATTTCCTCTTTGACTAAATTCATAATTTTCCTTTTCCTCAATTGAAGCACTTGTCACTGGAAGTTATGCAGTTTCCAGTCAGTTGGAAGTTTTTCACAAATTGATAGTCCATACCTTAATAAATATCCTTCACTATGCATAGTCTTGGTTATGCCAGTCTCTTATTGTTTTGAAATCTCTTTCATTTATTGTGAGAGCACTGGCAATTTCTCCTGCCTTCAGTTGCTGGACTGGAGAAGTGTTAGGTAACCCTTTTGTATGTATTTCTGTAATAAAACAGCACCACTTTATCTTCATAAGTTTCTTCCTTGGTTGTTGTTTTGCAAGAACATAGAGATCAGGCCAATTTTCCAACAATAAATACCTTCATCACTAATATCACATTTACACTCCACTTCTTACTTCCATGTTTTTCTGCAAACCAGTAACTTTTCACTGAAATGCCAACTATAGTGTAATCTTGTTGGAGATATATTAACCAGAATATATTAACCAATCTATGTGGTACCAACAACGTACAATACACAATGAAATGACTATACAAACAACTGTGACCGAGTTTGCACATGCACAGACAACAGCTATGTCACAACTGCCTCTAGGACATTAGTGGTAATAAGACATCATCCCAACTTCCAACATGTTCAATGTGAGAAAAACAATGCCTTCAACTCATTCATTTACTAAATATTTATTGAACAACTACTATGTGC